GAGACTAGTTGGAGTGAGAGTGGCCAGAGTACAAGCTGGCCCCGGCCAGGGCCACGAGCGACCCCAGCTCTGGAGGGGCATCTCTGTAGTACTGTCGGGCCGAGGTATCGAGGTCGGTTCGGGGAGGGGATCCTGACGTGCTTCGTGCTGGTTGGATGTTATGGTGCATCCTGGGGGGGGTGCAGTTGGATGTTCTGTTGGTTTTGGCCGACTGAGGGTATCATATTCTTGAGGGGTGTTCTTTTAGTCTGGGTCCGACTGTACGGTCCCACTTATGATTCAAGCTGGCCCAGCGTTTCTTAACCAACTTGCCCAAACGCTGGCCCAGTTTTCTTAATTAATAATGTTCTTGATCATGTGTTTGACTGTACTCTTGAGGGCACATGTTTCTCGTGCTCGGGCTCTCCCCCCCTGGCGGCCGAGGGGCAGCGGCGGGGGAGAACGAGGAGGAGCAAGGGGAGCCGCACAGGGGGGGGGGGAGGGCAGGGGGGGGGGCAAGCATGGGGCAGGCCAGGCCTGGGCCAGGACGGCCCCGAGGGGGGGAGGCTCGCGAGTCTGCAGATGTGCGGGGCGAGGAGGATCGACTACGGTCCCGCTTATGATCCAGAGGCCTCCCCCCGAAAAGCTGGCCCAGCGTTTCTTAACCCACTTGCCGGAGAGCTGGCTCAGCTCCTTAGGGGGATTGGTGGCCTTGGACCCTGGAAAGGAATAGTGTACGTTCCTTGCTCCAAAAGCTGGCCCACCGTTTCTCTAAGAAACTGCCGAAAAGCTGGTCCAGCTTTCTTCATTTATAAGTTTCTTAATCCGATGTTTGACTGTACACGTAAGAGTGACCTTTCGCCGGAGTGACCTGTGGTGCGGGCCCAATGGGGTCCCCCGATCGCCGAGCGCGATGCGGTGGTAGCGTCTTGCGCGCTCGTGTGTTAGCACCCCCGCGGCCCATCAAAAACCGCGCACCAGAGGTCACTCTTACCCAGGGTCACTCCTGCGTGCAGCTGAGAGGAGCAGGAGTGGAGGAAGTAGCAGCAGGAGCAGCAGCACCTGCACAGGCGGAGGAGGGGGAGCGCCTGGAGGAGGACTGCCCGTCGCTCTGTTTCGGGGTTGCCCTGTCGGGATGCGCGCGTTCGCGGTCAGCAGTGCGAGGCGCAAACTCGCACCTCTGGACGCCGATCTGTCGTGGTGCGCGCGCGACGCGAAGTGCACGCGGCTGTGATAGCAGAGGGCAGAGGCATCAGGAGGCGAATCTTATCTTACACAAGGTGTCCAGAGCTCCGATGACTTTATCACCTTGCACAGGGTGTCTAGAGCTCCGACCACTTTATTTCGGCACGGCACCGCCACCTCATCTCGCGCTCCACTTCTGTACCATCCCACACACCAGCCAGCGCGCTCCCTCCGCCCCGACCCTTTGATTCCGGCACAGCACCGCCCCCCCACTGCACCGCCCCCCCTCATCCCGGGTGCCCCCTCTGCATCAACCCACACACCAGCCAGCGCGCCCCCTCCGTCCCGAGCCCTTCATTTCAGCACGGCCCCCCCCCCTCCCATCCCGCGCGCCTCTTCCGCCATCGCAAACGTTCGCACAGCGTTCCAAAGGCTTGTAGGGTATTGCAGGGTATTGCATGGCGTTTGCAGGGTATTGCAGGGTATTGCAGGGTCGGTTGCAGGGTTTTGCCGGGCATCGCAGGGGTCTGGAGTGCAGATTACTAGAGGGTATTTGCAGGGTCGTTTTGCAGGGAGCCGCAAGGATCTTCGCAGGGTGTTTGTGGGGGGGCTCTGCAGGAGGGCTTTGCATGGTACTGCAGTGGATGCGGCCCGGTCAAGGAGAGGGTCGAGAGAGGGGTTGGCCTTGGAAGTAAAAAGGGTGCGTTAGATTTTCTGTACTCAGAGCCCAGAGGGCTGGTGGGATACACTACTTAATTGGATCCGCCCTCTTCGAACCGACGGCTTCGTCGATTGGACGTGAACCCTCTGCAGGTCAGTCGTTCTTGAGGCGTTTGGCCCTGCCGATCTCCATTGCATCTCGGCTACATGTAGCGTCCACGCACGCTTGGACCCTAGCGTGTCAGAGTGCCCACGCAGCTACAAATGGGGTCCTTCGCCACCCCTCGCCCCCATCCCCATCTGCGCGCCGCCAACCTTCGGAGCTCCCAGGCCCGACGTAGTTCCGCCCGCCCCTCACTGGGGCCTTCCCTAGGGAAGTAAACAATGGCATGAACATAACAACTCGGAGGTCCGCGCGGATTTCTCGGATCGGCTCTGGACCCCCCTCCCTGGCGCGCGGAGCGCGCCAGGGGCGGCGCCAGAGGCGCCGCCGCAGCGCCGGTCCAAGAAATCCGCGCGAACCTCTGTGTTCCTTAGATGTGGCGCGCGCGTGTACTGCACTGCACGCTGCCGACTGCCACCGCCTGCGCCCTGCATGGGCTCGCCTTCCGGCGCACGGGCGTGACCTGACCTGACCTGCCATTGTTGGTCTCCCTCTTCCCCGAGGCCTCCCCGGAGCGCTTCGCCGGCGAGAGAGGTCGGGGTCCCGGGTCCGCCTCGGCAGTGGGAGCCGGACGGGGCCTCCGGAAGGGCGGCGAGCAGCCCCCGCGGGGGCTGCTCGCCTCTCCCGCGGGATCGCGGCTGCCCCGGGGGATCGCGGCTGCCCCGGTGGTCTTCGGGGGCCGGTCGGGGGGCGCCCGGGTGTGCTTGGTTGCTGCTCCGGCAGGGCGGCGAAGCTCGCCGCTCTCCTCTCCTCCTCCTCCTCCTCCTCTCCTCCTCCTCCTCCTCCTCCTCCTCCTCCCTCCTCCTCCTCCTCCTCCTCCTCCTCCTCCTCCTCCTCCTCCTCCTCCCCCTCTCCTCCTCCTCCTCGCTCCTCCTCCTCCTCCTCCTCCTCCTCCTCCTCCTCCTCCTCCTCCTGGGGGTCGGTCAGGGGCGCCCTGGTGTGCTTGGTTGCCGTTTCGGCCGGGCAACTCCCAGCGGGCCTCTTCGGGCCGACGGATCCTTTGACGTACGCATGCCCCGACCCCGTCCCGTTGCCTCCATCACCACCATCCATCATCGCCGTCTCCACCATTCCGAGCGCCCCCTCCAATCCATCATCGCCGTCTCCACCATTCCGAGCGCCCCCTCCATCGCCCCACACTCCTGCCAGCGCGCCCCTTGCGCCCCGACCCCTTTAGTTCGGCACGGCACCGACTCCCATCCCGCGCCCCCCCTCCACATCCCCCCCACCCACCAGCCAGCGCGCCCCCTCCGCCACGGCCCAGTTTATTTCGGCACGGCGCCGCGCCCCCCATCCCGCGCGCCTCCTCCGCATCCCCCCGCCCGCCAGCCAGCGCGCCCCCTCCGCCCCGACCCCTTTCTTTCGGCACGGCCCCGCCCCGCCCCAACCCCTTACTATAGGCCCTCCGCACCCTCCCACCTAAGTGCCAGCCAGCGCGCCCCCTCCGGCCCGCGCCCCCCCTGCATCCCCCCACCCGCCAGCCAGGGTGCTCCCTCCGGCCCGACTCCTTTTGTCCGGCGCGGCACCGCCCCCTCCGCCCCGACCCTTTTATGTCGGTACGGCACCGCACCCCCCCACATCCCGCCTCGCCCACCAGCCAGCGCGCCCCCTCCGCCCCGACCTTTCCATTTCGGCACGGCACCGCCCCCCCATCTGGAGCGCCCCCTCTGCATCACCCCACCCACCAGCCAGCTCGCCCCCTCCGCCCCGACCCCTTTGTTTTGGCACGGTACCGCCCCCCCATCCCGAGCGACGCCTCCATCGCCCCATCCGCATGCCAGCGCGCCCCCTCCGCCCCGACCTCGTCCGCCCCGCCCCGACCCCCTTACTATAGGCCCTCCGCTCCGCATCCCCCCGCCCACCAGCCAGCGCGCCCCCTCCGCCCCGACCCCGTTTATTTCGGCACGGCACGTCCCATTCGCCCCGACCTTTTTATTTCGGCACGGAGCCGCCTCCCCCCCCGCATCCCGCGCGCCCCGACATTTTTATTTCGGCACAGCACCGCCCCCCTTATTCCGCGCGCCTTCCGCATCCCCCACCCGCAGCCAGCTCGCCCCCTCCGCCTCGACCCTTTTATTTCGGCGCGGCCCCGCCCCGACCCGACCCCTTTACTATAGGCCCTGGGAAGCCTTTTCAATGCCTTCTTGCGGTTGCCAGGGACTTTTTGAGACTTGTTGTGGGCTTCTTGGGGGTCTGTTGGAGGTCTCGTGGGAGCATGTTGCAGGTCCTTGAGGCCATTGTGGGGACGGCCCTTAGCGCCTCCTCAAGCTCGCCCTCCCCCTCTTGCGGCCCTCTCTAAGCCCTCCTTCTCCGATTTGTCGTCCCCTCTCCGCCCCTCCTCCTCCACATTCTTCTCCTCCTCCTCCCCCTTATTTTCTGTGCAAGAGTTGTGGCACGCGTGTCGCTTGTTACTTGGGGAGGTGGGCCTTCGGCTCCGGCTGCTACGCCTCCTCGTCGTCGGCACGCGTGCAAACGCGTTGATACATCGTGCTGCAGTGCTTTAATGTTCCGCCCGCCCAGTCCAAACCAGCCGTTGGGTCCGCCCGCCCGCCCCGACCTGCCCGCCCTGCACGCAAATGCACCATACGTAGTTAAATGTCCCGCCCGCCCGATCTGGGCGCCGGTCAGGGTCCGCCCTCCCAACGCGCCCCGCCCGCCCCCGCGCGTCCGCAAACTCGATGATGCCTCGTGTGTGGTGTCCCGCCCGATTCGGGTCTGCACGCCCGACCGCCCGCCCTGCGCGCGCGCGCCGACTCGATGACGCATCATGCTTCAGCGCCCCGCCCGCCCGACACGACCCGCCTGTCCTGGTGCGCCCACCCGCCCCGCCCCGCCTGCTCGGGCTCCCCCGCCCGACCGCCTGTCCCGCGCGCGGGCCAACTCGATGATGCATGATGCATCCCCTCAAGCACGCCTGTCAATACTGCATCCCCTCAAGCACGCCTGTCTTCTCCTTCGCCGCCAGCGTTGCTCGCCATGGCATGCCTGTTTTACAGTTTCGCCGTCCTCACGAGTGGGGCGTGACGCTTTGAGGCGTCCGATCGGACCTTGTGTGTGTGTGGCTTAGGAGCTCTGCCCCTTGGCTCAAGCAGCGCCGGCGCCCCGCCTCTCGACGCGTCGCCGCCTCTCCGCTGCCGCCCGCGCGCAGGCCGCGCCCCACGATCGCGCGAGCCCGGGCCGCTGTGGCGCCATGGCCGGAGACGAGCTGCCCTTGCGCGGCCCCGCGTGCACGCCCGCCGACGGCGACCACGCGTCCACCGATCGCGAGGGCACCGAGTGGTCCGACCTCGGCGAGGCCACCCCGCAGGGGTCCAGGGCGCCCCGCCGCAGGTTCCACCGTGGTCGCAAGGCGTCCCGGTGGGGGTCGGGAGGACTCGATATCTCGATATCTCGGTATCAAGGGCGGGGACTCGATATCTCGACATCTCGACATCTCGATATCGGGGGCGGGGGCTCGATATTTCGATATCTCGACATCGGGGGGCGGGGACTCGATGTTTCATACCTGATATCTCCATATCGTGGGCGGGGACTCGATATCTCGATATCTCGATAGGGGGGGGGGTGCAAGGCGGGGACTCGATATCTCGATATTTCGATTTCTCGATACTGGGGTGGGGACTCGATATCTCGATATCTCGATATCGGGGAGGGGGCGTTCGGGGCGGGGCTCGATGTACGGCGCCTCGCCCCCCCCCCCCCATCCCAGGATCAGAATTTTCTTATGCACGGCCTGCGGGCCTGCATAGGCCCCCTCGAGCGGGGCCGGTCCGCGGCGCAGGGCGTGCATAAGGAAATTTCGCATTTTCTGAGTGTGGGCCAAAGGGGTCCAGGGGGGTCGGAGGGGTACGTGAAAGTCCAGATTGCGAGGATGACGATGACGACGTTGCCGATGATGATGCGAATGATGGTGGTGATGGTGAAAGTGATGGTGGTGATCGTGATGGATAGGCGGATAATGCTGTGCATGATGATTATGGTGATGTTGGTGATGATGATGGTGATGATGATGATGATGATGATGATGATGATGATGATGATGATGATGGTGCTGATGCTTACGATGATGAAGGTGATGCTGATGATGATGATGATGATGATGTTAATGATGATGATGCTGATGACGATGATGATGATATTAGTGATGATGACGTTGATGATGACGATGATAATGTTGATGATGACGATGATGGCGATGCTGATTATGTTGATGATGAGGATGATGGTGATGATGATGATGCTACTGATGATGATGGCGACGATGACGACGACGATCATGACGATGATGATGATGATAATGACGATAGTGAAGAGGATGATCATGATGATGCTGACGATGATTAGGATGATGATGATGAGGATGAGGATGACGACGATGATGCTGCTGATGATGATGCTGCTAATAATGATGCTGCTCATGATGATTATACTGATGATGATCCTGATGATGCTGATGATGCTGGTGATGATGATGCTGATGCGGATAATGATGCTGGTGATGGTGTTGATGCTGATGATGATGATCATGATGATGATGTTGATGATGGTGATATTGATGATGATGATGATGATGATGATGATGATGATGATGATGATGATGATGGTGCTGCTGATGATGTTGTTGATGATGATGACGATGATGACGATGATGATGATGCTGATGCTGATGCTACTGGTAAACATGATGATGTGAAGGAGGACCAGGAGAAGGAGGAGGATGACGATGAGGAGGAAGGAGGAAGCGGGGGATGAGGAGGAGGAGGAGGCGGAGGAGGAGGTGGAGGCGGTCGAGGAGGGGTAGGCAGGAGAACGGGAGGAGGAGGAGGAGGAGGAGGAGGAGGAGGAGGAGGAGGAAAGGGAGGAGGAGCATGTTTGGGGAGACGCAGGAAGAGAAGGGGGATGCGGAGAAGGAGGCGGAGGAGGACGAGGATGCTGATGCTGATACGGATGCTGATGATGCTGTTGATGATCATGATGATGCTGATGATGATGATGATGATGATGATGACGATGATGATGATGATGATGATGATGATGATAATGTCGATGACGATGACGATGACGATGATGATGATGCTGATGATGATGATGATGATGATGATGGTGATGAGTGCGATAAGTATGGGGATCATGAAGGAAATATGGGGTTGTGATGATGATGCTGATGACGATGCTACTGATGCTTGGGATGATGATGATGATTACGATGATGAGGAAAACGATGGCGATGCTGACGATAGTCCATGGTTGTGATGATTATGCTGACGATGATCGTGATGATGCTGCTGAGGATGCTGATGCGGATGATTATGATGATGGTTGTGATGATGGTGATGATGATGACGACGATTATGATGATTATGCTGATGATGATGATGGTGATGATGATGATGATGATGATGATGATGATGGTGCTGATGCAGACGATGATAATGATGCTGATGATGATGCTGATGATGCTGATTAGGATGGTGATGATGATGGTGCTGGTGCTTACGATGATGATGATGATGATGCTGCTGATGCTGATGCTGATGCAGATGCAGATGCAGATGCTGATGCTGCTGAGGGTAATGATGGTGATAATGCTGTTGATGACGATGATGAGCATGATGATGATGATTGTGATGGTGATGATAATGATGATGATGATGATGATGATGATGATGATGATGATGGTGGTGGTGGTGGTGGTGGTGGTGGTGGTGATGATGATGATGATGATGATGGTGGTGATGATGATGATGATGATGATGATGATGATGATGATGATGATGATGATGATAGTCATCACCCCTGCCATACTCATCGTCCTCATGGTCCCCCTCCGACCTCCCTGGACCCCTGCGGCCCAAACTCAGAAAAGCGGCAATCTTCCTATGCACGCCCTGCGCCGCGGACGGGCCCCGCTCGAGCGGGCCCGAGCGGGCCCGTGCGGGCCCGCAGGCCGTGCATAAGGAAATTCTGGCCCTGGGATGGGAAGCGAGGCGCCGTGCGTCGAGCCCCGCCTCGAACACCCCCCTCTCCGATATCGGGACATCGAGATATCGAGTCCCCGCCCCCGATATCGAGACACCGAGATATCGACATCTCGAGTCCCAGCCTGGCCCCGCCCCCGATATCGAGATATCGAGATATGGAGATATCGAGATATATAGAGACATCGAGTGCGGGCGGAAAAGGCCCCCTGGTCTGCCGGGACGCCCGGCCCCCACGCCGGCAGGTTCGGGGCGGCGCCCGGCCGCGCCGCGGTGGGCTGCACGGCGGCGCTGGTGGCGCTGGCGGTCGTGGCCGCGTGGCACCGGCCTCTTCGGCAGCGGAGGAGGGGGGCGGGCATCGGTCACGTGATCAGCGCGGGCTCTCGGACAAGTGCCACCTACTCCGTAGAATGGTACCAGCTGGGGTGCGGCGCCTACGACTACAGCGACCCGACGCCAGCACCGGCGAGCGGTTACAGCGGGTATTATGCTGGCTCGCTGAGCTCCGACGGGGGCCTCTATGCCACGAGCGGGTGGGCTTACGACGCAAACGGGAACCCGTCGTCGTACGTCCGCGTGTACCAGAACAGTGAGGAGACCGGTTGGACGCAGGCGGGGGCCGACATCCCCTGCGGGTCCAATGCAGATTTCTCCGCGTTTTCGTACTGGTACTCGGTGTGTGGTGACGGGAGCACAATCGCCGTCGCTACATACGGTACAACCGCAAGCGGGGGGGCCTCCACGGGGTACGTCCGCGTGTACCGGTATTATGAGAACGCCTGGAACCAGGTGGGGGACGACATCGACTGCGGAGCCGCGAGCGGGATTTATCTTTCACTGAGCACCGACGGAAGCACGTGTGCCATCGGTGCATATGCGAACGACGGAACTGGCTCCAAGGGGTACGTCCGCGTGTACCACCTGGACCAGCCTGGGCTCCTCTCCTGGAACCAACATGCCACTTGGACCCAAAAGGGGTCCGACGTCGAGTGCAACGCCGTGAGCGGCTACAGCTGGTTTTATGTCTCGATGTGCGGCAACGGGGACGCGTTCGCCATCGAAACGTATTCCGGCGGAAGCGGGTACGTCCAGGTGTACCAGTATGGTGAGGATCGGGGGTGGACAGAACCCCCAACAGTGACACGTCGATTAGTGATTTGTCCGTTTTCGGTTCTCGAGAGGGCGCCGTGGCCGTTATTTTCCAGGCTTGCGCCCGCCAGGTTTGGGCCTCAGGTCGTTTTCACTAAACCACGTTTTACGAAAGGGGGGTCTGTCCATCCCCGAGAGGACGAGACTTGGACCCAGAAGGGGGCCGACATCGAGTGCGAGGCAAGGGACGGGTTCAGCGGGAGTGCGGTCACGCTGAGTGCCGACGGGAGCACGTGTGCCATCGGCGCGTACGGTAAGAGCGCATCCGCGGAGTACATCAGTGTGTACCGGTATGCTGAGACGAGCTCTTGGACCAAGCTTGGGTCCGACATCGACGGCGAGGCTTCGGCAAACTACAGCAGGTTTTCGTTCTCGCTGAGTGAAGACGGGAGCACGGTCCGCGTGTACCAGTACGGGTCGTCGTCACCTGCCCCAGCGACGACCTCGACGAAAGAAAAAAATGAGACAGCTCATCCGTCACCTGCTCCAGCTCCTCGGCCTCACAGAACGACGACGGCGGACTGTGATGCCGACTGCGCCATCGGCGGGGAGACCTACTCGTGCAAGGTGAGGCTGGCGTGGCTGATGAAGAACGGCCCAGGCAGCGACGAGAACCATTACTCGAAGCATTCGGGCCCGCCTGGAGGAGAAATCTCCTGCAGCAACTACCTTCTGAAAGTGAAGCACGAGTGCCCGAGCTGCGAAAACTGCACAGACTCGGTCGCCTGCCCGTGAGGCTTGCGGGCGTATCCGCCTGTTTTCCGCGCCTCCATCCTCCTCGTCGTTCTTTTGGGTCTCCTGCTGAAGCCTGTCTTCTTGACGCACACTGAAGTCCTCTGGTGTGCTGCGCCTATACGCGTACTATTTGAATTCGCTGCTGCTGGCTAATGCCAGCATTTGGGCCCATCTTGGAGCCATGTTGATCCTTGGGGCCATTATAGGGCTCTCTGGGCTGTCTTTGGAGCCTCGTAGAGGCCGCCTAGAAACATCCTGGGAGGAGAGGGAGAAGGGAGGGGTAGGGGGGCCTCGACGATGGCAAGGACCAGGATGAGAAGGAGGGTTCTGCAGGGCCATCGCAAACGTTTGCAAAGCGTTCCAATGGCTTGCAGGGTATTGCAGGGTATTGCATGGCGTTTGCAGGGTATTGCAGGGTCGGTTGCAGGGTTTTGCAGGACATCGCAGGGGTCTGGAGTACAGATTATTGCAGGGTATTGCAGGGTCGTTTTGCAGGGTGCCGCAAGGGTCTTTGCAGGGTGTTTGCAGGGGGGCTTTGCAGGAGGGCTTTGCAGGGTACTGCAGTGGGTGCGGCCTGTTCAAGGAGAGAGGGTCGAGAGAGGGGTTGACCTTGGAAGAGAAAAAAGGATGCGTTAGAATTCCTGTGCCTGGAGACAAGAGGGCTGGTAGGATACACTACTTAATTGGATCCGCCCTCTTCGAACCAACGGCTTCGTCGATTGGACGTGGACCCTCTGCAGTTCAGTTTTTTCTGAAGCGTTTGGCCCTGCGTCCACGCACGCCTGGACCCTAGCGTGTCAAAGTGCCCACGCTGCTAAAAGTTGGGTCCTTCGCCACCCCTCGCCCCCATCCCCATCTGCGCGCCGCCAACCTTCGGAGCTCCCACGCCCGACGTAGTTCCGCCCGCCCCTCCGTGGGGCCTTCCCTAGGGAAGCAAACAATGGCATAAACAAGAACTCGGAGGTCCGCGCGGATTTCTCGGATCGGCGCTGCAGCCCCCCTCCCTGGCGCGCGGAGCGCGCCAGGGGCGCCGCCTCTGGCGCCGCCAGGGAGCCCCAGCGCCGAACCAAGAAATCGGCGCGGACCTCCGAGTTTTCGTGTTTGTGCCATTGTCTGTCCCCCCTGCTCCCCGAGGCCTCCCGGGAGCGCCTCGGCGGCGTGAGCTCGGGGTCCCGGGTCCGCCACAGCAGCCGAAGGCTCGACGAGGCCTCTGGATCGGTGGCGCGGAGGCCCCCGTGCGGTCCTGCCCATTCGCGTGTTCGCGGGTGCCCGGGAGTCTTCGGCGGCCAGTCGGGGGGCGCCCGGGTGTGCTTGGTTGGTGCTCCTGCAGGGCGGCGAAGCTCGCCACTCCTCCTCCTCCTCCTCATCCTCCTCCTCCTCCTCCTCCTC